CTAAGCATGGAGAAATTAACTTAAATCAGTACCTGAAAATGTTAAATAGTCATGAGGAAAATTGTTGTAAGTTGATTTAAAAATGCAAATCTGAGCATTTTGTCCCCTAGTTAAGAACAAAACAAAAACCCCTTAGTTGATTTTTCATTATGTCTTTGGGTAAAGACATACATGTTCTTAAGTAAAGGAAGTCATTTATTAGTTACTTGATTTTCCCAAAGGTTTCACTGATTTTTTTAGGAAGATGACATAAAGCAATGGTTATTAGAAAATGAAGTTATGCGTGATGTAGTAATCATATAGGCCGTATCAAAAGTAGATGACAATAAACATGAAGAAAAGTAGACGGCAAATTCATAGACAGATTTGCTTTTGCTGTGGAGCAGATGCTCTCCTTATGTTATATTGAGGCATTGCCTGAGTCCCAAACAGCCCACAATGCAGTCATCATCATGTGGCAAACCATATTGTACAGTAGTAATTTGTCTTCTGAACCAGTTAGTAATAACTAAACCTCCATTTGAGCATGTTAAGCTAAAATAAATCTTCCTAACTGAACCGTCACTGTTGCTTTTCAAGGTGGGCATTGGCAGGAAGCTGGAGCTGAGTATTGAGCTCAGACACTCTGGTATGGGATGTGCGTGGGCCTCTAGCTAGTGTCAGCAGCCGGGTCGGTCATCTGCCTCCAATGCCTGAGTTCTCACACCTCGCTCTCCAGCCCCTCTGCTTTTGTTTCTGCTCCTGGCAGGGATAGAGTCTTGTTTAGGTTGCAGAAAATCTGCTCTTCTTTTTCTTTCAGCACTCAATGTTTTCTGAAGGCTTTTTGTTTTGCCCTCCTGAGCCCAGATGGAATTGACCCAACTGGAAACCTAGTGTGCTTTCCTTTTATCCCTTCCCCTACATCCCGTAAGCTTGAAATGCATTGTTATTATTCACCAGTACATAACTACATACTCACCCCCAATAAACCCCCAAACCCTCCCATAAGATTGGTATTTTTTAGGCCCAGCGCAGTGGCGCAGTGGATAAGGTCCTCGCCTTGCACGCCCGGGATCCCATATGGGTGCCAGTTCTATCCTGGCAGCCCCGCTTCCCTTCCAGCTCACTGCCTGTGGCCCAGGAAGGCAGTCGAGGACGAGGACAGCTGAAAGCTTTGGGACCCTGCACCCGTGTGGGAGACCCAAAAGAGGCTCCTGGCTTTGGACCGGCATAGCATCAGCCATTGCACTCACTTGGGGAGTGAATCATCGGACAGAAGATCTTCCTTTCTGTCTCTCCTCTCTGTATATCTGACGTTCCAATAAGAAAAAACCTTAAAAAAAATACCAATCTTTTTTTTTTAAGATTTATTTTTATTATTTTCCTTATTGGAAAGGCGGATATACAGAGAGGAGAGACCAAGAGGAAGATCCTCCATCCGCTGACCCACTGCCCAAGCAGCCGCAACGGCCAGAGCTGAGTCAGTCCAAAGCCAGGAGCCTGGAACCTCCTCTAGGTCTCCCATGCGGTGCAGGGTCCCAAGGCTTTGGGCCGTCCTCAACTGCCCTCCCAGGCCGCAAACAGGGAGCTGGATGGGAAGCAGAGCTGCTGGGACCAGAACCAGCGCCCATATGGGATCCTGGCACATACAAGGACTTTAGCCACTATGCTATGGTGCTGGGCACCCATGAGATTGTTTTTGAAAAAAAAAAAAAGACCCTTTTTATTATACTTGTATCCTCAGAGCTAAACCTCAGCTTTGTTACTTAGGAAGTAGTTTTTAAATATTTATTAGTCGTCAGTGAAATACATTACTGTAAAGAGCTGCCAAGGAGGGCATAGGGAGTCTGATCCTGAAGAGTTTCAAGAGGAAGGGAGATGCCCCTCTGATCAGGGGTCTTCCCTTCCCTGGGGAAAGGGAAATGAATGGGTTGGTGGGTAGAACTTGCTCTCTAAAGCATTCAGTTGTGTAATAGAGTGTGGTGAAATCAGGGATGGCTTTTATAGCAAGGTTTTCCAAGCTCACACACAACCTTCAGAAGAACACAGCCCAGCTGTATTTTTGTTGTTATTGTTCATTTAAAGGTTTATCTACTTTTGTTTTTTTTTTTTTTGAAAGGCAGAGAGATTCAGACATAGCTATCTTCTTTCCATTCACTGGCTCACTCTGCGAATGCCCCCATTAGTCAGGACTAGACCAAGCTGAATCCAGGTATCTGCAACTCCATCTGGGTGAGTGGGAGGGACCCTAGCATTCACCATCACCTTCCGTCTTCCAGAATGTGTATTAGCAGGCCACTGGAATCAGAAGCAGAACTAGGACTCGGAACCAGACACTCTAATATGGGATGCAGGGTCCCAAGCTACATCTTAACCACTGTACCAAATGCTTGCCCCTCTTTTTTAATTCTGAAATAATTTTAGACTTACAGGAAAGTTGCAAAAATACAGAGAGTTCCTGGAAACTCTTACTCAGCTTCCCCTAATATTAACATCTTATATAGCATACAGCAATGATCAAGCCTAGAAATCAGCATTGGTACAATATTGTTAACTGAACGACAGTGTTCATGTTTCATCAGTATTTCTACTCATGTCTTCCTCTGTTCCAGGATCCTGCCTAGGATCCCACAGTGCATTTAACTATCCTGTCTCCTTAATTGCTTCTGTGTGTGATAGTTTCTCAGTCTGTCCTTCTGTGATTTCGACACTTTTGAAGCACACTAGCCGGTTGTTTGCAGGGTGCTGCATCCCCCCCTTTGGTGTCTGTCTGATGTTTTCTCATGATTTACGTTTTTGACAAGAACATCATAGAAGCAATGCTGTGCCCTTCTCAGCATATCATGTCCACAGTACATGAGATCATGTTTATTTTTGGTCATGTTGAATTTGATCACTTGGATAAGGAGTTTTCTCCCTGCTAAATTGGTATCTTTCTTCTTAATGTTAACAAATATCTAAGTTATTTTAAGTTATACAAATATCCTGTTTCTTCCATATATTCATTTCACATACATTAGTGGATCTTGCCACCCAGAGCATTATTGAGGTGTTTACTTAATGTAAATTTCTTTATATATATATATATATATATATATATATATTTATTTATTTATTTATTTCAAAGGCAAAGTTACAGAGAAAAGGGGAGAGACAGATCTTTCATCCATCCATTGGTTCATTCCCTAAATGGCCATAATAACTAGAACTGGGAAGACCTAAAGCCAATAGCCAGCAGCTTTATCCAGGTCCCCCACATGGGTACAGGGACCCAAGAATTTGGGCCATCTTCTGCTTTCCCAGGTCATCTGCTAGGAGCTGGATCAGAACTGCAGTAGCCAGATCTCAAACTGATGCCTAAATGGAATGCCAGCATCACAAGCAGCAGTTTTACCTTATCTGCCACAGCACCGGCCCCAGTGAATCTCTTATTTCTTCCCATCAGTACTTAATGATTGGAATTACTCTGGAAAGGGAAACTGAATAAACTAAATTCAAATACTAAATATCATATCCTTCTATTCATTAATTTCTAATATTTTAATTCTCCAGATTGTTTAACAAGCATAATTTTAGATAGTATAGTTTTATTCTTATTTAAGAAATTTTATTAGGGGCTAGCATGGCAGGCTAATCCTCAGTCCTGCAGCACTGGCATCCCAGATGGGCACCCAAGTCCTGTGCTTGCTGCTCTACTTCCCATGCAGCTCTCTGTTATGGCCTGGGAAAGAAGCAGAGGATGGCCCAGGTCTTTGGACCCTCCTGCACCCATGCAGGAGACCCAGAAGCTCTTGGAGCCCAGCTTTGCATCAGTTCAGCTGATCACTGTGGCCATTTAGGGAGTGCATGAGCGCATGAAAGACCTCTCACTCTGTTGCCTCTTTCTATCAAGCCTGCCTTTCAAAGAAAAATAAATCTTTCCAATAAATAAAAAGAAATTTTACTGATGTTTGCTCAAGGGCATTGTGATTACTTACCATCATATTTTATTTATAGTGGGAAGACTGGCTGCTCCTCACTTATTTAAAGAAAAACAATAACTTATGTCAGACCCACACAACTGAATGACTTTAAGAAGGACAATCCCTACACAAGGCCTTGAGTTGTTTGTTCCTGTTTAGCATAGTAAACATAATAATCTTGATGCTTACTCATAAACCGTTCATGGAATACATAGTAACTTATCTATTAGAGGAACTTTAATGTTAACGTTTCTTGATATTTTTTGTTGTTGCATGTTCACATTGTTAATCATAACCCAGGTGCCCAGGACACAGTATATTTAGTGCATGGTTCATAGGATATTTAGTACAGATCCTGATAACTCAGCATTTTTAATCTATCCCAGCTCTATGATGCCTAGAACAGTTAGTCAGCAGGAGAGCATTGAATTGAACTGATTGTTTCTGAGTCAGTGACAAATTTACTTTCCAAACACATTGTGTCTAATTTTATTTTTAAAAAGAGTAAGAAGAGAGCATTAAAATTTTTTGAAGGCAGAGTGACAGAGAGAGGAGAAATAATGAGTGAGCTTCCTCCACTAGTTCACTGCCTAAAAAGCCACACAACATCCAGGATGGGGAGATCAGAGCCAAGAGCCTGGACCTCCATCCAAGCCTCTTGTTTTCTGTTGTTTTTCCAGGCCTGATGGTGAGGGAACTGAATCAGAAGTGGAGCAGCTAAGACAAACCAGTGTTCACGAGGGATGCTGGTGTGGCAGGTGGCAGCTAACCCACTACACCACAGTGCTGACCCTGGAAAGAACATTATTTAGACCAAGGGTTGACAGAATTTCTGTAAAGGGCTGAATAGTATATCCTTTAGATTTTTCAAGCCATATAGTATTATAAATACTCAACTCTACTATCAGACATAGTACAAGTACATGCATAAACCTCTCTTGCAATAAAACTTTCTTTACAAGAACAAGTGGTAGACTGGGCCATCTGATGCAGTTTATCAAAACATGCAAGTTCTAAATGCACATTGACATAATATTGTTGTCTCATGTTTCTCTACAGGCAGAAGACTAATCTTTGAAAATATGTATTTGGGAGATAGTCACGTTCTATTGAATACATTGTGCTGGTGCTGCCATCGAAAAATCTGGTTACACTCTGGGGAGGCCTTCTACCGCTGCAGGACTGAACCTCCGCGGCTCTGAGATGAGCGTCTGGCCCAAGTGCACACACCATGAATAGATACACAACGATCAAGCAGCTTGGGGATGGGACCTACGGTTCCGTCCTGTTGGGAAGAAGCATTGAGTCTGGGGAACTGATTGCTATCAAAAAGTGAGTTTTATCTCCTGAATCCATCTTCCACTACACATTGTCAAGATAATTTTTAACTCTGTCTTTTTCATTCCCCATCTTTCAAATATCTTTCAAAGGGGAGTGATTAGGAAGCAGGGAGAAAATAGTATCCGTAGGTTCAGTGATTATTAACAGTGTAACGCCATGGTAGAGGTTTCTAACATTCCCACATTAAACTTATTACTGTGCATGTAGCCCTAGTGTGTTTTCAGAATGTTTTCTCATTTGTGAAGTGAACATGAACAGGTTAAACATGATTTTACATGAGAGGAAACTGAAAGGAAGTGGCTTAATTGGGGGTCATTTATACATGTGGTGGCCATGTGACTGCTATCCTGTCCACCTGCCCCACTTTTTCATAGCTGCCTGAGTCCAGATCCAAAAGAATTTACTCCCAAACTTAATTGTTCAAAACAACACACATTTCTTCTCTCAGTTTTCTATGGGTCAGGAGTCTGGGCACAGCTTAGCCAAGAAGAATGGATCTCCTATAAAGCTGCAGTCCATGTGGTAGCCAGAGCAGGGGGCCCATCTAAAGGCTGGACTGGGGAAAGGTCTACTTGGGAACTCACACACCTGATTGTGGGTGGCATTCAGTACTTGAGGACTGTTGGACTGTGGGTCTCAGTTACCCCCTGGCTGCTGGCCGAAAGTTGCCCTCAATTCCTTCTCGCATGTTCCTCTCCAGAGAGCAGCTCAATTATATAGCAGCTATCCTTATCAAGATGTGAGTCAAGAACACATAAAGAAAATCTTCCATAAAGATGGAAATCATATTTTTGCTTCTGTAAACTAGTAACAGTAATGATGGCCTCTAAAATATCTCATCCTGTTGGTTAGAAGCGAATCACTGAAGGAGATGGGATTATTCAAGGTAGTGAATACCAGGTGATGGATGCATATGGAAACCGTATTAGTCTGCTTACTGGGTTAGCACCATAGCCTAGTGGCTATAGTCTTCATCTTGAACACACCAGGATCCCATATGGGCACTAGTTCTAATCCCGGTGGCCCCGCTTATCATCCAGCTCCCTGCTTGTGGCCTAGGAAAGCAGTAGAGGACAGCCTAAAACCTTAGGACCCTACAACTGTATGGGAGACCTGGAAAATGCTCTTGGCTCCTACGTTCAGATTGGCTCAGCTCCAGCTATTGCAGCTGCTTGGGATCAACGGATGGAGGATCTTCCGTTTTGTTTCTCCTCCTCTCTGTTTATCTGACTTTCCAATAAAAACAAACAAATAAATAAATCTTTAAAAAAAAAAAAGTCTGCTTACTGTACCCATCTATGTCCAGTTGCCTCCTCAGTCTCTCCATTTGGATGTCCCGCCAGTATTTTTAAGCTCATCACATCTGCAACTAAGATTCAGCAAATTCTCTTGTGCCAGACTTAATTCTCCTTCAGTTTTCCCTATGTTGATAAATGATACTACTAACCCTTCAAAACCTCGGAGACTTCCTTGCTTCCCCTGTCCCACATTTGGTCATAAAGTTCTGTTAATTCTACTGCTTTTTTTTTTTTTCTGATACACTTACCATTTCACATTCTCATTGCTAACATCTCATTCAGCCCATTCAACGCCTTACCACCTCAGTCAGTAGTTCTCCCGAGGATGCTTAGCTTCCATTCTTTCCTCGTTGATGCCAGACTAAAGGAATTATTTTAAACATGCATTTGATTAATTGAAGCCAATAGCGTCAGATGGTCTGGGTGTCCTGTTGGTCTATCACATCACCTTGTCCCCTCTAGTGCCTAGCACAGTGCTTGCAGCCAGTATCCCACCTCAGGTATACCTGGAAGGCCGATGATAGGGTGTCCTGGCCAGCTCCCTGACAGTTCCCTACAAGGCCTGAGCCTCATTTACTCACCTTGGTGTCAACTCTGCCAAGTACCCTTTGCTGAGCTAACCATCTCTCTTCTTTCCCCATTCTTCAACTCCTTGACCTGATTTCCTGGAATCACCTCCCAAACAGTCTACCCATACCCTGGTCCTTGCATCAGGTTCAGCTTTTGGCAGACTCCAAGCTAAGGTAGCTTATTGTCATCCTGTCATTTTTCAGTGTGACCTCCAAATAGCTGAATCATTTGGCCTCTGCTTGTTTTCTTCAGCCCCGACTCCTAGGGCTACCTCCGTGCTTCCCACCTAGTTCAAGTCTATTCATCCTCTGTAGCTCAAAGATCGCTTCAGTAGAGGAGTAGTCTCTACATCTAGAACAATAGGGTTCCCTCTCTCCTCTCAGCTATAGGCAAGGGGTTGTCAAATTTTTCATGTAAAAGGCCAGACAGTAAATATTTTAGGCTTTTGAAGCCATATGGTTTCTGTTATAACAATTTAATTCTGCTTTATAATATGAAAGCAGCCACAGACAACATGTAAATGAATGAGTGAGTGTGGTGGTTTTCCAATGAAATGACAGCTATGAAAATTGAAATTTGAATTTCATATCATTTTTGCCCATTGCAAAATATTCTTCATTTGTTTTTCCTAACCATTTAAAAGCATACATGCCCTTCGCTCATAGGCTGTATAAAAACACATGCTGGGGAGGATTTGACCTGTGAGCCATAATTTGCTGACCCCTGTATCAGAGAGTCTATCACTGTGCTATCCAAAATATGTGAAAACTGCGTGTGCTATTTAAACTGAAAATTCAGTTTCTGTGTTGCACTTCAAGTACGTTATATTTTAAGTGCTCAGTGGCCACATGCATCTTGTGGCTACCATATTAGACAACATAGGATGCTTCTACCAGCACAGAAATTATGTTGGACAGCTTAGGCCTAGATGGAGCCAGCCTGAGGAACTGCCTTCCCAGGCAAGGCAGCTAATTAGTGGTAGAGAAAAGCAGCAGTGATCTCTTGTACTGTACCAGGCCACTGCTGCTGGAAAATGTTATGACTTCATTGCTTTTTTAAATAAATATTTATTTATTTTTATTGAAAAGGTAGGTTACAGAGAGAAGGAGAAATAAAGACAAAGCTCTTCTGTCTGCTGGTTCTCTTCCCAAGTGGCTGCAACAGTTGGGGCTGAGCTAATCCAAAGCCTGGAGCTTCGTCTGGGTCTCCCATGCGGGTGCAGGGTCCCAAGGCTTTGGGCCTCCTCGACTGCTTTCCCAGGTCACAAGCAGGGAGCTGGATGGGAAGAAGGGCAGCTGGGAAACAAACTGGCACCCATATAGGGATCTCAGAGTGTACAAGTGAAAATTTAGCCACTGGGCTATTGTGCTGGGCCCATGACTTAGGATTGTACTGCCAGACTTTAAAATAATGCAGTTTTGGGTAGTTCAGATTGAGCATCTCTAATCCAAAAATTTGACATTAAAATGTTTTCAGGGTCCAGCATGATGGCTTAGCGGTTAAAGTCCTCGCCTTGCATGTGTCGGGATCCCATATGGGCGCTGGTCTAATCCTGGCAGCCCTGCTTCCCATCCACCTCCCTGCTTGTGGCCTGGGAAAGCAGTTGAAGAAGGACCAAAGCCTTGAGACCCTGCACCCGTGTGGGAGACCTGGAAGAATATCTGGGCTTTTGCACAGCTCCAGCTGTTACAGCTGCTTGGGGAGTAACTAAGCTGATGGAAGATCCTCCTCTTTGTTTCCTCCTCTCTGTATGTCTATTTTCAATTAAAATAGATAAATCTTAAAAAACAAAATGTTTCCCAATCAGACTTTTTGAGCTCCTGCATGGCACCAGAATTGGAAAATTCCAAACTTGTATCACGTGACAGGTCAAAAAGCAGGTGCACTAAAAATAGGTAAAATTTACCTTCAGGACATGTATGTAAAGTATATACGTAGCATAAATGATTTCATGTTTTGACTTGGATCCCATCACCAAGATATCTGATGATATCCGTTGCAAATATTTCAAAATCTGGGAAAAAATTATGAAATACTTCTGGTCCCAAACCTCTCATACAAGCCCATCTTGCATATCAATTATACCCAACCTGTAATATTTGATAAAATTGAAGCAAACTGTAAGCACTTGCAATTAAATTGTGAATTTTAGAGAAATAAAGTTAAGCTTATTATTATTGAGGATAAACAGTCTTATTTGTTTCTTTCTTCTCTCTTTCAGAATGAAAAGAAAGTTTTATTCCTGGGAAGAATGTATGAACCTTCGGGAGGTTAAGGTATTTATTGCTATACCAAGAAGTAATTTATGTATAAGTAATTAAAATATATTAAATGGTTAGATATCTAATTCATATGATCCTTCCACTTGAGTTTTTAAATTAAAACCATTGAAAACGAGGGCAAATGACAACATTATATGGCTTATGGCTTAAAGTAGGCGATTACTATGTCATTACATAATGAATATATTGGTATTTGAAAACTCTTTAGTGGATCTCTTATATTGACTTAACGAACTATTGCTACCTCTAGAGATAGCCTAGTGATTAATACAAAGGAGTTTCCATTTGTTGAGTGTTTTTCCTAGATACTACAGCAGTACTTGTTTCAGTTTCTTGCTCTAATAATATGCAATATGCTGTTGGTGATAAAATTGTTTAAAAGATTTATTTCTTTGAAAGGTAGAGTTACAGAGAGATTTTCCATCTTCTGTTTCATTCCCCAGAAGGCTGCAAAGGCCAGGGCTGGGCCAAGCTGAAGCAGGGGCCAGAAGCTTCTTCTAGGTCTCCCGTATGTATGTATGTCAGGCGCCCAAACCCTTGAGCCATCTTCTGCTGCTTTTGCTAGATCATTATCAAGGAGCCAGATCAGAAGTGGAGGAGCTGAAACAAGTGCCTGTATAGGATGCTGACATTGCAGGCCTTGGTTTAAGGTGCTCTGCCACAACACTAGCCCCAGTCATGGAATTTTTTTAATCAGAGTAGAGTTCGCTCAGTAGTCACCTAGCACATAGCTTCATTTCTATTCACCTCATAGCTACAGCATTCCCTTTTTTGTCCCCCTCTGTTCTCTTTTCCAAATTCTGTCTCAGTTCTGCTTCTGTCTCCATCAGAGTAGACTGACCACTTCAGCTTGTGTGTCATCCTGTTCCTTGTGCATCACAGGAACGCCTCAGGGTCCTACAGTCTCTGAGAGCCCTGCTTGAGACACCTACTAGGATTCTGAAACTCAACCATTTGTCTTCTTCTAGGGTGCCCTGGACATAGATGAAAGGTTAAAAGTTGAAAGCAGGAATTACAAACTTTCTGTGAAGAGCCAAGTTGTAAATCTTTATGCTTCATGGGCCAGTAGAACACATTGAGAAGAGCTAAAAAAATTTTCATAAAATTTTATTTACAAAGTGGAAAATATACTAACAACCACTAAGTATAATTTGTGTGTGTGTGTGTCATAGGTCTTTTAATGAGAAGAATAGCATTCTTTGCGGGGGCATTTAACTTAATTTGGATATAGGATATCTCCTGTCATCACACTGATTACAAATAGTCATCTCTAGAAGCCGTTCTTTGTTTAGGGATAATCTGAAGCAGGTGATGGGCTGGCTGTATTTCACCCAAGAGTTAGTTGTGCTGATCTGTGATCTAGAGAATGAAAGCTCTGGATGATCCCAAAACACCAGAGATGAAAACAAAGTGTTATCATGGTCTTTGTCTCTGTGACTTTACGTTCTGATTGGTATCCCTGACTTGGATGTTAAACTTTTGCTTTTCTGTACATCCAGCTGCATTCATTCTAATGAAAGGAACATTAGTCATAAGCACAGCTGAGAAAAACTATAGGCCCATGGTGTCTTAGGAAATAAATGGCTGCCTCGGCAAGACCTCAGAAGGAACTGCTCCTCTAGCTAATGACCATGACACTTCCCACTCTTTTTTCTTACCTACATGGATGCTGCATCTGCTGCCTTCTGGGTTCTTCCATCCCTGCCTGTCTTTTTCGATCCTCTGACAAATGTACCCAGCCCCGGGCCACAGCCAACCAGTGAATTCAGAGAGGAGGGAAAGGAGTGGGCAGAAAGGAGGACTCTTGTCCTTCCTTGTTGCCTGCTGGCTCAGAAGGGGAAGGAAAAGGACCACTGTCATTGTTGCATCTCTATTCCTGATACACTGCCCAGTGCTGAATCTCAGCAGTGAGAGGAAATTTGGAGTTGATTATACCACTATCTCCTCACCCCCTGCGGCTGCCTGCCATCTGTATATCGGCATGCTTTTCTTTGAAGAGCCTGTGGACTATAGGCAAATGCTGTAAGGAAGGGCATCCTTACTCTTGTGATGTCACAGGCTGAATGGACCTGGTGACAGTTTGCTTTGACACACTATTTTATGTGACTTCTGTTCTAGACACCATCTTGAAATACTTGGTTGCCTGTGTCCTGCCTGCTCCCTTCACTGCTTTTTTGTTTTTAAGGCAATCTTAACTTCTGGTATCTTTTATGTCTTGCTCCAACAATTCCTCTCCCCTCCATATCTTTAAAACCTTCTTTTCCTTTGGCTCCTTTTTTTTTTTCAGCCTATAAATGTGCCTGCCATTCTCTCTCATCCAAAACTGTCTCAAACCTCTCTCTTACCAAGCTCTTCTTTTTCCTTACCCCACCTTCCAGATATCCTCCTTCAGTAGCATTTGTTTTAACCCAATCACATCAGACACCTCTGTCTGTAACTATAGTGAAGCTGGCAGATTTGCTAGAGGAATTCTGAGGGTCTACAGCTGGCATCCACACATGTTGCCTCCTGGCAGCTCTTCCTGCCACGTCTTTCAGACAAGCCTCCTTCAGAACCAGACTGGGGTGGTTCACCTCCTGCCTCTCTCAGACGGAGTCTGCCGCTGCATTTCCATGCCTCACCTTGGATGGGCTTCCCTCCTGCTGAAGCTTTTCCCTTCCAGTAAGCTTGTCTAGATGTTACTCCTCCTTGAAGTCACATCTCATGAGCTGCCCTCCCTCACCACTCAGTGTTTACTGGTACCCCTTGAAAAGTTTCTGGTGTTCCTTTTTTCTGTCTTTCCTTTGACAGTTGCCATAATATGATCTTTCTTGTTCTTTTATTTGCATATTATATTCAATTACTGTCTATGGTAAGTGCAGGCATGGTGTCTTATATTCCAGGGTATCCTTGTGGCCCAGTAAGTTATAGTTTTAATAAAGACATGGGTCACATAGTGACATTGGTCAGTAAGGGTTCACATTTACAATGGTCCCATAACGTTACCATGGAGCTGAGAAATTCCTGTTGCCTATTTTTCCTGTACTTTCTCTATGTATCATTGCTATGATGCTGATAGTATTCACACAGTGACAGGCTTACAGGTGTGTGGTCTAGGAGCAATAGACTTACCCATGTGGCTCAGGTGTGTAATGGACCTAGGATTGTATAAAGTAAACTCTAATGTTCTCAGGGCCATGAAATCTCAAACAGTGTATTTCTCAGATCTTATTCCATGATTAAGTTATTTCTCATTAGGGAACTTGACCAGTCCCCAGGAGGGCAGAATTGATAATATCCCACTTCCACTTTCATCCCTGGTTTTAAGAAGTTGCCACTCAGACTTTTGCTTCTCTGCTCCAGCACAACAACTGACCTGGCTCTCCCATTCCTGAGACCTTTCCAGAGCTAAGACAAGATACTTTTCTAGAAATACATCTCTGTAGAGTGAGTCATACTGAATTTCCCACACAAAATTCTTTTTGTATTAAATGAATACAGTTGTTAACTTGCTCATAAGCTTCATTTAGAAACAGGAACTGTGACCCACTCTTAAATTTGGGCTTCAGTACTTGCAACTCACACCAGCAAAGAACTGCAGGTACCCTACTTGGTGCTTGGAGTCCTCCTGCCCCAAGGCTTTTTATTGAAGGTTATCTCAGCTGTTGCTTTTGATGGATTTTTTCAGTAACAGAAAAGAAGGCTGAAGTGAAAATCCAGTGAATACTGACACATTAGGTAACATTTGTGTTTGTTACTCATGGAGAACAGAACTCCAAGCAACCAAAAGAAATCATGAGCCCAGCTGTGTCATTCTAGAAGACTCTGGCCAAGGCTGCTGAGCATTCCCTGCCAGAAAAGTGTCCTAGCAGGAACTTGGTGTTTGGGGAGAAGGTTCCAGAACAGCCTCGTTTTCTTCTCAGTCGTTGGCTGTATTTTTTTTTTTTCTTTCTCTAGTTGCTTAGAGTCATTTCCATGCGATCCAACATGATCATATTACACATTCCCAAATTCCAGTTCTTGATGTCTTATTACTGAATGTTCTTCCAGATTTCAATGCCCGTTTTTAACACTTTCATTTTCAAATGTTTTGTTTCTTTTATAGAAAGGTTATTCTTTTTCATGAAATTTAAAGATGAAGAGGCTTTGTAACTTATGTTAGATTCATTTCTCTGTGAGGAGAAAGCTTTTGGGTTAAAGGGCCTCATGTGGATGTTGTGAGGTAGTGGGCTGAGCTGCTGCTCAACACACCTTTATTCCAGACTGCTTAGAATTGAGCCACACCTCCACTAATGATCCAGTTTCCTGTTAATTGCACACATTGACAGATAAGGAAACAACAGAAAAGGGCTGATCTATTTAGGTCTCCACCATGCAGGTGAGAAACTTGGGTGAAGTTTCTGGTTCCTGGCTTCTGCCTGGCCCAGCCCTGGTTATTTTGGACATTTGAGGAGTGAACCAGTGGATGAAAGATCTCCATCTCTCTCTTTCAAATAAATAAAAATATAACGAATTAAAGGACTCATCTCACTGGCTAAAGGGATTGTTGAGCACTTTCTTGAAGGATACAATTCATTAAATTCTGATCATCCGGTGAATACACCAACAGTTGAGTATCTTTGGTTGTTGACTGTAAGCAGGATTGTGGTTCACTAACACAAAAGTGTGTTTGTTCCGCATTTAGAGAACTGATGATGCAAACAGAAAATAGTGCATGAGTGAGTACTTAGTGTTCCAGGAAGAGCAAACTTCCATAGCATGAGGGATCAGAAAACTAGGCACTGGATTCTTGTCCACCTTCTGCCTTTGTTGACTTGGAGGCAGTGGGTATTTCTGATACAAATCTCTCTGTTTTGTAGCAAAAACTTATATTGTACACACAAGCATTCTGTCTCATGAACACACAGGAATCAGACAAAAGCCCTGAGAATCAACTATAATGGCTCAATTTCTGTAAACAATTTCCCAAAGTGTGTGCAAGCCAGTGATCCCAGCCCAAAGCAGCTGCGTTCTCCATTGCTTGGAAAATCAGTGTTGTAACTCCCTTTATTGGCTTCTCCCTGGCCACTTTCACAGCCTGAATTACCTCATCTGGAGAGAGTGGGCTTAAAATAGCCCTGGCATATTGCTTGGTGCTGGGGATGGCCAGAAATACCAGATAATGGTAAAATGCTTATTTTCTAGATAGTTCATTAAAGTAGTCTTTAAAGGTAAAGTTACTGTAGATTTCAGAGAAATACTATTTTAGTCATCATTCAGATATAATTTACAGCATTCCTGTGAGCCTAAAATTGGGTGTTTCTTCCTAAATACACATAGGGTTATTTCTCTTTTTCAGCAGCAGATTTGCACTAATTATTTTGTGTTTTTTTCTTCTGTGTCTTACAGTCATTAAAGAAGCTCAACCATGCCAATGTAGTAAAATTAAAGGAAGTTATCAGGGAAAATGATAATCTTTATTTTATCTTCGAGTACATGAAGGAAAATCTTTACCAGCTTATTAAAGAAAGGTACAGCTTGCTCATGATGATCTTGTGGGCTTATAATTTCTCTCTGCTTTTGTTCAGTGTTTTTTTTCCAGTCATTTCATAGCTGTGTTTCTGGGCTTCCTTGTCATAAGCTGCAGGATGGAAGAGGATGCCACCCACTGGCCTGCTTAGCCACGGTGCAGCCGTTTCCATGTTTGAAAGGATTGCTCGCCCAAGAAGTTCAAGGCTGTCACAGTGGAGAGCTGTAGTTCTCCACTCCCGTGTGTGGCACGGCAGCTATAGGCTAGGTGCCCACATGCCTTGTGTATTTTGTGACTTCTGTTGAAAAGTCCTAGACTTGCTTTCAGCTCCCGCTCCACCACAGAGTCAAGTATTTGCACACTGGGAGGAGGAGACTGACGAGGGAACTTAGCCTGCTGTGATAATTTTGAACTTTATAAGTGACCCACAGAGGCCTCCTGGGCATATTTTTGTGGTGGCAGAATGAATACCATTCACAGCAGCTGTCAGATGAACTTGAATGAACAGGTACCATCTTCAGTGTCAAGAACTGCAGTGAAGCTGTGTGGTTTGCCCAACTGGGGGAAAATGTTAGCATCCTCTGTGTCTCATAAACTCTCATCTGGATGACCTTACATTTCCCCCACTAACAGTTTTTTGAAGTTTTAGTCCATATCATGAAGAAAGGAGACCTTCAGGTTTTTATATGCTATGTTGAAGGGAATGATTTTGTATTGCTTACTATAAAATGTTAATATTTTTGTCTTTGTAACATATTTGGTGGTTATAAAATAGCTTCCCTATATAAGTGAATGATTGCTTTTCATGTGTCAACCCAAACTGATGACTTTGTTTTATTGTGTCCCTGATAGGAATAAGTTGTTTCCTGAGTCATCTATAAGGAATATCATGTATCAGATCCTGCAGGGACTTGCATTTATTCACAAGCATGGTAGGTAATCAGCAGATTGTGTGTTTGCACAACAGTGAAATGTTCTCATCAAGTAGGAAGCTTTCAAGTTTTCAGAAGCTGACTCCTGGGAAAGGCTAGAGAATTAAGAGATTGAAGCTGTTTTTGGAATATTTTGTATTTTGGAGTTATTTTGTAACTTGATTTCTGAATTTCCCTCACTATTCATCATGCCCTGTGTGTTTATGCTCTTTAGCCTTTAACATTAAACTTGTTATTTACAGATCTGATTCCTGACAATTATCTGGTATATTAATAATAAATCTAAGGTCAGAATCCTGAGTAGTTTCCTGCATTATTTTTTATCCATCAACTGGTAACCTCTTATTCATGGTTTGGCTCTCTGTGGTTTCATTTACCCACAGTCAACCATGGTTCATGAGATATTGTAAGAGGTAAAGAGAGACTACATTAATGTAATTTTTGTTACAGCATATTGTTGTAATTGTTTGGTTGCTGTTGTTAATCTTTTAATGGGCCTAATTTATAAATTAAACTTTATCATAGATATTTTTATATAGGAAAAAATGACTTATATAGAGTTTAGTATGATCTGTTTCAGGCATCCACTGGGGCTCTTGGAACTGTCTCCTGTGGATTAAGAGGTAACTATAATGTATTCCAGCTACAAAGGAAATTAAATGTGGTTTGAAAAGATTTATGCAATATGGCAAAAATTAGCAAACTTAAAGAAAAAAAGAAAATAGCAAAAACCAGATATGGAGTTAGTGAGGGGGAAAGATTAATCCTCAAAATGCTTGTCAGAAAATTTTGTTTTAGTAGTAGAAGCGATAAATTTGATTTTGCACTTGTCAGACTATGCAGCATCATAGGTGGTTTCTTTGAGGTAAAAAACAAAACCAGGTCAGTTGCCCAAGAATAACAGAGCTAAGGTAGATACTGAGATTGAATAGAAGTTTTTGTCATGGATCTTTAGTGGGGGCAGATGTAACATGACATCTTCCCAAACACAGAACCAGGTTACACAGGGCAGTTCCCTGCCATGTCCCTCAAGGTGGCCAGTTATATAACCTTGTCAGAGAAAATAGCACTACTGGGGCCCAGTATAGTTCACTGTAGGCATGGCCTGATGAGTGTGGAGAGAGATGTGTATCCCAAGAAACAGATGGCCGTGTGCCCACAGGCAGTGCTTCCTCACCATTGTTTTCTTAGCTGAGCTTTTCGAAGGTTTTAAGCAACCACAAGTTTGAAGTTACATTTATTCTCCAGCAGCTAGCTGGAGCATTGCTAATCTTTGTTACCAACTGGATGCGGATCGAGCTGGGAACTGATCGATAGATAGCTTCTTGTAAACACAGAGTTGCCAGGTACTTGAAGCCCTGGGTGGAGCCAAAAGTCCCTTCAAAGGGACACTTGAGTCATTTTAACATACAGACAGAAGAGCCAAATGGCTGCCTCTGCACATGCAGAAAGCCCTTGTCAGTCTAAGGATGTTGTTGGTATTGTAAATGTTGCACCAACAAGTGGGTTTCATTACTTAATAAGGAGATTTATTGGTTCAAATCCAGTTCTGATTTGGCATGAATTGCCAATTAGGATAAAAGACTTAATGTCGTACCAGGTGGCATGAAGCACCTGGATTCTTGTCCACCTGCTCTTTATCCTTAAGATGTCCCTCACAGTTTGAGACCAAATGAAACACAAACAGGCATCAAGTATCTGTGTGAATCTCTCTCAGTCTAAGATTGTGAACCAATTCTAGAAAAACTTTCCTGATTACTTCTGATTGCAGTGACATTTCGCTTGCATTCACAATTCAAAAGGGATGTTATGAAGTTACAAAACACAAAACTCCTGGGGTGATATGTGAGAATTTAAGATTTAAGAGCTGGATTTAAGAGCTCAAGTAAGAGAAATAATAAAAAATTCAAGGCATTCTCAAAAGAGATGCGTCAACTTGTATGTCTGCAGAAGGGACAATCATGTCTCAGTTTTAGGGTGATTTGTTTGGTACTAGAAACCAAGTAGACTAAAAGATGGTAGTCTTTAACTTTATCTTCTTTTCCTTTTTGCACCTTTTCCAAACTCAAAGATTTGTTGCCAGAAAGAATTTTCAGGTATTTTCCAGTTTTCTGCCTAATGAGATGAACACACGCACATGGCATGTGCACCCTCATATCTGTGCATGAATGTGGACACATCTATATGGACACACACCCATATGTATATGTACTTTTACACATACTGTCCTGACCTAAACTTAGAAATACTTACTTAAGACATACTTAGAAATGCATGAGCATATGCACACACATAGGTATTTTATAGGCAATGATTTTTTTTAATTAAAGATTTGTTTCTTTATTTGAAATGCAGAATTACAAAGAGAAAGGGAGAGACAGAGAGATCTTCCCTATGCTGATTCACTCCCCATGTGGCCTTAAGGACCAGGGCTGGCTCAGGCCAAAGCCAGACATCCGTACCTTTATCTGAGTCTCCCATGTGGGTGGTAGGAACTCAAGCCCTTGGACCATCTTCATCTGCTTTCCCAGGCACAAGAGAGCTGAATTGGAAGTGGAGTTTTGGGAACACAAGCCAGCACCCTATGGGGTGTTGCATTGCAGGAAGCGGCTTAACCTGATATACCACATTACCATCCTATACATCTGTGTACTGCTGTGTCAAACAGTCTTTTGGAATTCTGTTCTGTGATTTTTCTTGCATGAGTAGATGTGTAGATCATGTATAAAATTCATGCAGGGAAAAGCTCAACTTATGGAAAAGGTAAAATTCTCACTTTTAGAACCCAGGACTCTGCCCCTGTCAGAGATCTGTTGTTGACACATTTCCTGAGAAGTTAAGTTGGTCTTACTTTGGGCTTAGCAACATCTCCTTACTTACTGCTTTTTCAGCCTCTTAGGAGGTAAAATAGTTGGTATCTGTTCCTTCAAAAGAGGAAAACAGGGTTCAGAGAGGCTTAAAACCTGCCAGAGATCCCACTATAGTTAAGTGACAGAGTGGAGAGCAGTTCATATGCCCATTCGCTTTCCCAGAAAATCCTGTGTGTTCTCAAAAAGATTAAGAGATGAAGAAAGTCACAATTGTAAACAGGATGAGTACTATTATTTTGCTTTCACAATTGATTGTGTGGAATTTTTTACACTCTTAATATGGAATGGACTTGGCTTTAAATGCAGTGGTGTGTTCATATCATTCCTTCTCTCCAGTAGTGGGGTAAAATATCTTTTCTCAAGTAGCTTGTTCTCCCTGTGGCAAGGTGCACTCTGTCCCCAGAGGAGCAGCTCCTTTGAGAAGGAAGAACAGCACTGCAGGTGGTTGCTATGGCCATCCTTCATGTCACTGAGTAATTTCCCCATAGGGAGTGGAAATGTAGATCCACTTGGAGCTGATTAAGCAATGTCAAAACTTGTATGTCTCAGGAATTAAAAAATTCATGCAGACTGTCAGTTTCATCTTTGACCTGCCCTTAAAAATGCCCAGATGCTCATGCAAGTTATAGAAATGCAGTGAATGGCTTGAAGAACAGGACAGTGTTTTGCCCCAGAAGGTGGTTCTCTGCTCCTGTGTTTCACCACTGTCTAACTGTGTGTCACCTTGAGACAATCCTTTACTTTTGTGCCTTGCTGTCCTCTTAGTCATCTTGGTAAAACTTTGTGGGTTTAACTTCAGGACTCTCTGTGCAAGTACAACTTCCAAAGCAGGAAGGTGTGTTCTGTAAATTCTTACAGAGATTCTTGTTTTTACTCCATGTGCTCATATCCGGTTGACCCATAATAGAATGTGGGTTATTAATGATAAAGTATGCACAATACTTTTTTTTTTGCCAGAGTGAAAAGGGAAAACTCTGTTCCTTGACTGGCATATGGAACCCTGCAATTAACTTGATGGTTTGGTCCTGCCACCTTACTCCAATAATTTAAGCAGAAAGGTTAAATTATGCAACTGGGTTGTTGCATAATTGCAGATGAACAGGCTACAAGGGGATCCATTGTAACTGAGAACTCAGAGGAAGAAGCATGCCCATGGTTAGAGGCCACTATACACATGTTATCAGAACATACACCCAGTGAGGTGTCATGTTAGTGCTTCAGCGCCACCTCATAGAGCCCTCGTTCTTACCTTCAGTAAGCCAAGCCATGTCTACCTAACTTAACAGGTTGTTAAGAGTGGTCAGCTAATGGGCCCAGTGTTATAGTCTAGTGGCTGAAGTCCCAGCCTTGCATGCACAGGGATCCCATACTGGTGGCAATTCATGTCCTAGCTGCTCTATTTCCATTCCAGCTCCCTGTTTGTGGCCTGGGAAAGAAGTGAAGGACAGCCTAAAGCCTTGGGATGCTGTACCAATGTGGGAGACCTGGAAGAAGCTCCTGGCTTCTGGCTTCATATTGGCGCAACTCCAGCTGTTGCGGCCACTTGGGGAGTGAACCAGCAGATGGGCGATCTGCTAGTATCTCCTCCTCTCTGTAGGTGTGCCTTTCCAGTAAAAATAAATCCTAAAAAGAAAAAGTAGTCAACTGAAACAGTTTTGCAGTACTAATACTTGTGCTCAAGTATTATTCAAAAGCTTTGTACATCAAGTAGATGCTATTATTTCTACATTGTATAGCAAGAAATTGTGATACAGAGAGGTGAAGTGAATTTCCAGCCAGTGAGTAGCAGAGTTGGGATTTGAAATCAGCTACATATGAATACTGTGTTGCATTTCCTCTCATATGGACATAGTTGTGTTTTGTTAAAATAGAAGTGAAAAGTAATCATACGTGATATCAGAGCCCTAGGCTTTTAATTTCTAAGAAGTAGAACTCAATAATCATTGCTATATTATTCAGCAGTTAATAGAAGGATAAATATTTAGATTTATTCATGAATTTGTTGTATAAAGGCATATACTTGATAGTATGACTGACTGACAGCTGCACATGTCAACTTACATGTGTTTTCATAAGTTATTTTTCAGAATCTGTTTACAATCATTGTTTTTGCCTAGCTGATGTGGGCAATGATTATATTGGTTTCTGAGCCAGATTCTTGCAGAAATGGAAACACTGGTCTGGCATGGTGTGCATATAGAAACAGTTTATTTGGTAGTGAGGAAATAAATGTACATTCATGCGTGAGTGTGGGTCACCCCACACTTAGAAGACCCAACCTGAGGGAGCCAAAAAATTGTCCATAAACTAGCGAAAAAAGAAGACCTGAAAATGGTCCTTATAGTCGGGAAGGTTCATTCGAGACTGGATAGTAGGAATGTGGGCACATGAGAGCCATGTGGGTCAAAGTGTTCCATGGTGGAAAGAAAAAATGAGAGTTGTACCTGTCAGCCAGGACCATGGCAGAAAGAGAGCTCATTCCTGCCTTCTACCTGTTTTTATAAGAAAGGAAGTATACCCCAATTGGTTATGCAAATGAGGTGGGGTTTCAGCATGTGAGACAGATGCATACTGGGAAGGTGGAGGTATCAAATCGACAGTTAACGAGACAGCAGTGATCATGAGTTCCAGGTCATCATACCTGATTAGCTTCCTGCCTCATATCACAGCCGTTTCCCTCATGGTTGTTTTGGACCTGAAGTATGACTGACAGAAAGGAAAGCTGCTTTGAAAGAAGATGGGGAATGAAAGTGTTTGCTGTCCTCACTTCATTCGTGCCCAGGGTCTCTGTGGAGGGGACTTGGCAGTGATGGGAAGAGGTGGTTGGTGTTTGCAGCAGCGTGACTCTGGGACTGCGCAAAGGAGAAGGCCTGCAGTACAGGACTAGTGATGGGATCTAGGTACACATCAGTGCAGTGGGGTGGACTAAACAGGCCAAGATGCGAGTTGGATGAGGTGGGTGCTGTAGATGGAAGCAGAGAGAGTTGCCATGGGGTGTGTCCCGGGAAACGGATGGCTCATTATGAGGGGTATGCTGTGTTTGAAAATAATCATTAGCCCAGCTGGAAGAGAAAAAGGGAGTCCACAAGAAACAGCAGCTGTGATCTGGGTTTAAGAGGCCCAGGCCCACAGATGAAGATTTAGCTCTGTAAATCAAGAGAAGAGTAGAGGCTGACTCCGCAGCAGCTGTGACACTTCTCTGCCACCTCTCCTGGGACTCAGTCTTCCGTTCTGTAAAAAGATGACATCTGCCACTTTTCTTTTCGCTGGAGTATGCTGATACCCTGAGCTTTTAAGGAATCATGGTCACACAATTCATTTATTTTCAGGGGCCACAGAAGTCATCCTTAAAGCACTGACAAAAGATGACTCTAATATCTCTGCTCATGTTTTTACACATTCTGAAGCCGCATCCAAGAAGGGAACATACAGCCCCAGGCTTCTAGGTCCAAACATAGTGACTCAGTTCTACCAAGTCTTAGAACAGGCTTCGCCCACTCTGGTTGTGTGAGTAATCTCTATTTAATTAGGCTGATAATTTGCCACCTAAATTTGTCTGTATCAGAAACCATGTCATTTCTTTGTAAAGGCTCTTCTTGACTGACACTGAGTTCACCTTTGCCTACATTGAGTTGACAACCTCAAGTTGTGTTTCTACTAATAATCCAAGTTTCACTTACTCTTGCTTCAAGAATTTGATCTAAGGAAAGCCAGTAGGTGTGTCAGTACAGTGGCAGGATAAAGAATGAAGTAATGGGATATATTTGTGTGTGTGTTTGCACAGAATACACGAAAATACACTTATACACACATATACATACATATACTGAGATGCTATAAAAATACCCAGTTTGCAGTGCCTCTTATCTGACCTGCTTCTGTCAGTCATTGGTCCTGTCAGTGACTTGGATTATAGGAAATAGGGGCAGTCCTGTAGTAGGAACTACTTTCTGCTCCCATTTGTGACCTCTTGAATGAATCAGATCTCTTCCGTACCTTCATCCTCTTCTGAGGCCACTGGATAGTGTTGTCCAAAAAGGCCAGCTACTTCCCCTGCAAATCCATCATTAGGCCATAGTACTGGCTGTGTATGGACCTTGTACTAGCCTTGTTATCCTCAGAGTGAGGGGAGGAGAAAGCCCTTTTATTAAAACACTGCTGTTTTCAACAATTAGTGTTATTTGTTGCATTGCCACATGTAACCTCACCACAGTCACCTTTTCTTTCCTCTAGAGCAGAGGCAGTCTTTGGGAAATAACTTTGCCTAATAGATTCAGTCTTGCTGGACTGTAATCTCTAATGATGATTTTCAGCTTTGAGCCTGGTTTGTCCCTCATACTACATCAGGGTCATCACTCTTCTCTATTCTTAGTGGCCCTCCCTAAAGGTTTGGTCGGCTGTTTGTTGACGCTGCCTGCCAGGATCCGGTTGTCACCATGAAGCATCTCCCTGCTCCCTACTCAAGTCTTTGGTTCAACCAACTAACATATATTATGAGACCACTATGCTTTTGCCACTGGGCAAAAATTATTATTTTTATTTAGGAGAAGCATAAATGTGGCAGATGCCCTCAGAGTGTTTCCTAGTAGTTAGTGAAAAATGGTTAACATACTTGAAAATGATGGAGCTGTACTCAAGCTCAGAGAGAAGGACCTGTAGTACCTTTGCCCCTTACAATGTGACTTGCAAATGTCCCTTTACTTCTTCATTAGGCAAAGCAGTAAGTGGTTAGCATTTAAACTCGTGTAACAGCACATACTGAATCTCAAATGTGAGTAGGTCGTATTTGTAAACCCTTTGTGTCTAAACCAGTAATTGTATTTTACTGTGTTGTATGTTTTCAATATAAAACTGTTGACTTTTGAAATGGTTTTATTATGGATTCTATCTGACTGATTTGGGCAGGATAGAAAGCTTATTTTTCTACTGGAAATATAATTTTTTACAAAGTTGTATAAACATTGATTTTTAAGATATTTTAATTATTTGTGTATTTATTTTATCTGGAAGACAGTGAAAGGAGAGACAGGCAGAGAGAGAGAAAGGGAGGAACATAGTAAAACACCGAGAGAGTCTTCCATCTGCTAGTTTGCTCACTCTCCAGATACCTGCGACAGTTGAAACTGAGCCAAGCCAGAGTCAGCCTTCTGGAGCTGCTTCTGGGTCTCCCATGAGAGTACAGATGCCCAAGAACTTGGATTGTCCTCTCTTGCTTCCCCAGATGTATTAGCAGAGAGCTAGTTGGGAACTAGAGCAACCAGGACTCGCCATGTGGGATTCTACTGTCATTGGCAGCAGTTTTACCTACTGAGCCAAAACATCAGCTCTGGGTTTTCATATTTTAAAAGGAAGTTTTTTTTTTTCTCATAAAAAAATTGTAAAAAAAAAAAAAAAATTTGAATGCTTTTGCAAAGGGAAGCAGATGAAGTCCAAAATATTCTTTTACCTGCAGGAGGAAGACAGAGTCCTTGGTGTCGTGCCAGATTACTTTCAAACTATGAATGTTTGCATAAGAGCAGTACAGCTTCAGAGAGCAAGGCGGAAAGCAGCATGCATTTGCATTCCCTCTCTGCTGTCTCCACAGGCTTCTTCCACCGGGACTTAAAGCCCGAGAATCTTCTCTGCATGGGACCAGAACTCGTGAAAATTGCAGACTTTGGGCTGGCCCGAGAAATCCGATCGAGACCTCCATACACGGACTATGTATCTACCAGATGGTGAATATTGTTTTTCTCCCAACTGTTTAATTGTACTTGTCTGAAAAGATAGCATTATGCATTATGTCGAAGTCACAACTGCTAACTTTTCACTCAAAATGGAGCAGTCTGAAACATATATTTGTAGGTATGTCAACAATGTATAAGGTTCAAAGCTTGTGTTCTAAACAAAAGATTTTAAAAAGGGGAGAAAAAAGGCTTGTTTCCTAAGTAATTTTAAATCATAATAAATTACAAAGAAGATTATGTATATAGGTCTTCCAGGGAACAATTTTCTAAAAGAGTTATGTAAAAAATTTTTCCAAAAATCCATTTGAAAAGACTGCTAATTGCTATTGTTTTTTTTTTTAAAAAACATTTTATCTCAGAATAGTTTTTCAATTTGCAGAAGACAAATTATGAGATGGTAATAAACAGTTCTGACATATCCCTCACCTCATTTCTCCTTGACATTTCGTATTAGTATGTTTGTCACAATTAACAGACCACACTCAACCAATTGCTATGGCTAAAACATTCAGATCGTAGAAATTTGAATTAAACAATTTTCCAAAACATGGAAGTATTTTACACACATTTTACATCTCTTGCCCTTCCCTATCCCTTCTCCCTCTACTACATTTGATCTTAGCCAAAAGGCCAAGAAGTGATGTCTCCCTCTACTTAACTGCTACTCTCTATTACTCAAAGATTCTCTAGATGAGACTCCTGTAGGGAAATATTCATTAGGAAATACTGGGAGAGGCAGACATTTGGCACAGCTGCATTCCATATTGCAGTGCCAGGGTTCAGGTTCCAGCTCTCTTCCCAATTCTGGCTTCCTTCTAGTGAGGCAGCACCTGATGGCTCATAAACTTGGGTCCTTGACTCTCTTGTGAGATACTCAGATTGAGTCCCAGGCTGCATCTGGCCTAGGCCCAGCTATTGCAGGCATCTGGGAAGTGAACCTGTGTGTGTGTGTCCATCCATCTGTTTAAAGATGTACTTTTTAATTTAATTGAAAATCAGAATGATATAGAGAGAAAGAAATGTCCTGTCTGCTGGCTTACCACCCAGGGTGGTAGGGCTGGGCTGTACCAAAGCCAGGAACATGCAACTTAATCTGGGTCCGTCACATGGGAAGCAGAAGACAACTATCCTTTGTTACTTCCCAGACACATCAGCAGAGTGCTGGGTTGGAAGCAAAGCAGCCAGAAAAGAAACAGCTACCCTGATGTGGGGTTCTGATGTTCCCCACATAAGTTAAGTGGTGGCTTAACTTACTGTGCCACAATCCAGCCCCTTTTTATTTTGATGTTTTTCTACCTTTCAAATAAATAAAAATAATTTTTAAAAGTATACACCAAGTTCTTTAAAAAAAAAAAAGGAAAAATAATTGAAATAGAGACATGCTACTTTCTTTTTTTATTTTTTGGAAAGTCAGAGATTGACAGAGAGTTCTTCCATCTACTGGTTCATTCTCCAAGTGCCCGTAACAGCTAGGGCTGGGCTAGGCTGAAACCAGGAAGTTAGAACTACGTTCAAGTCTCCCATATGAGTGGCAGAGACCCAAGTAGTTCAGCCATCTACCTTCTGCCTTCCAGGGTGCATACTAGGTAGAAGCTGGGTTGGAAGCAGACAAGCTGGAATGCCAACCCAGGCACTCCAATGAGGGATGCAGATGTCCCAAGTTGTGACCTAAGCCTTGCACCCAACACCTATCTGTAGAAGACCATTGCTTTTCAACAGATCACAACAGCTTCAAAGTCCTTGCAAGTCCATATAACACAGGAAATTGGAGACAATGCAGAAAAATAGGAACTCTGAGACTTGGTTATTGCTTAATTTGGTGTCTGACCAATGGAATCAACAGCTTGTGGTAAACCTCTGTCCCTCCAGGTACAGGGCCCCAGAAGTCCTCCTGAGATCCACCAACTACAGCTCCCCCATTGACGTCTGGGCCGTGGGCTGCATCATGGCAGAGGTGTACACCCTCAGACCGCTCTTTCCTGGTGCCAGTGAGATTGATACGATATTCAAAATTTGCCAAGTCCTGGGGACACCAAAAAAGGTAATGATGTGGAACACAGGCCTATGAACCAATGCCAGCAGCTTCTCATGCTCCCTGTCCTCCAGCCCTGTGCAACACTGCCACTAGTGGGCCTCATTCTAGAATCTTCTCTTTGGCCTTGTACAGGTTGTCCTCTTCAGGGTGTTGTCTGCCATGGCTCCCTCTGTCTTTCTCTGTTCATCATCTCATTGCCCTGCAAAGTATATCTGTTTTCCTGACCTCAACTCATATCTCAAGTCTCCTAAACACAATGTTTACCTCCACCTCTCTGCTTTTAATACCACCAGCCCCATATTTACAACCATGTACTGGATTTATTACAAACTCTCTGCCACCTCTACTAGAATGCACCAGAAGCAGATGGCATTGTGTTTTGGGCCCACAGTGCTTCCTTCTTTAATCCCTGATTCTGATGTTGGCCTCATAATCTCAGAACCCCAGGCTTGGGGCTGGGTTTCTTCTTTTCCTTCTCTTTTTTTCCTCAGTCTTCCTTTGCTTTATCCAACCACATGATCAGGAAATGCTAATGAATGTCACATGGTATTCATTCTGTGAAGTTAAATGCTGCCATTACCGTTGGGGCCATGACCAGCCTGCCTGTGTTGAGTATCTTCATCTTCTTGCCTTCTACTCTTTACTCCTTACAGCTTATCTTACAACCTGCAGCCAGAGTCATCCTCCCAAAAAAATAGCTCTGCAACTACATATAATGTATGTAGGCTGATTTGGATGACAGATTGAGCCAGACCCCACAGTGACTGGCACACACAGGAGTCAGTTTTGGAATCTACCTCTGGTAAGGTTTCTTTGGGAATGCCCCCAAACTGGATCACTGGTCTCAAAACTCTCAAACACAGGGAAAATCACAGCGTCTGTGGTCTGGCCATGGAGTGCATGTGGCAGAATTGGGTCTCCATGGTAGCTGAGGTCTATGTAGTAGATAGCAATGCTCAGATGCTCATGGGGGACATGACAACCAGTTATTGAGGCAGAACAAAATGGACAGCTCTCCTGGACAAATATGTGAGCAAATGGAGACTATAAGGTAGACTCTGTCAGCCAATGGACCTTGGAAGGATTTCCTCAAACTTGGAGCAATGAACACCCCTGAGGTGGGTGTCCTCTGCCTGCTATCTCTATACCACTGCTACATAAAAGGTTCCAAGCTGGCAGCTTCCTTCTTTCTTCCCTCCTTCCTTTGTTCCTTCCTTCCTTTCTTTTCCTTTCCTTTGCTTTGCTGCTTCTTCCCCTTCTTCTCCTCTCCTTTCCTCTCCTTTCCTTTCCTTTTTCCTTCATTCCATCTACTTCCTTCCTTTTTTAGATACCCTTATTTGCGTGAAACACAGAGTTAGAAAGGGATGGGCGGGATGGGGGTGCAGTAGGGATCACCCTTCCATCTTCTAGCTCACTCCCCAAGTGGCTGCAACTGCCATAGCTGAGTGAATCTGAATCCAGGAACCAAGAGCTTCCTCCAGCTCTCCCACATGGATATGTAGGAGCCCAGTGATAGAAGCCACATTCCACTGCTTTCCCAGACACAGGGTCAGAAGTGGGGCAGCTGGAACCCAAACTGGTACCCATATGGAACACAGCACTATCCACTCACCAGCCCCAGTCCTTTCTTTTTCTCAGTGTTTGCAATTAGCCATTCTTGTCTGCTGCCTCACAGTCTTAGATAAAGGAGACAGAGATGCAGAAAAAGTAAGAAGCTATGAAAGAGCTTTAGAATTTGCTTTTCTCAGCCTCCCTAGTTAATTTTTATCTATCTCTTGTCCCATTTTGAATCTTCAGATTAAGCATAAAGCAATGTAAATAATGTAAATAAAGTATGTAGGGCCAGAGCCTCACAGCTTTTATTTGACTCAGGAATAAAATATTGTATTTAGTCTTCTTCCTCCTTCCTCCCAAAAATTTTCCAAAACTTTGCCTCATGAAATACATATAGTTGGGGAAGTACTGATTTGGTTCAGAGTCAAAATAGACTGTCTTAGGCAAGATAGACTGTCTTAGGCAACGATGACGAACCAAGCTGGCTAAGAATCTGATCCTTTTGACTATTGGCCAGATTTCATGTTCTTTGCAGTCTTTATGTCAATGCATCCCTGCGACTCATCACCCACACTGCCACACTGATTATAAGCAGGTTTGGGTGCGGCTGCCTTTCCTTTAGGAGCACACCTGCTAGAACACAAACTCATGTCAAAGCAGTTAACTAAGCAAGATTTTCTGTTTTGCTTTTTTCAGACCGACTGGCCTGAAGGCTACCAACTTTCAAGCGCTATGAACTTCCGCTGGCCTCAGTGTGTCCCCAATAACCTAAAGACCTTGATTCCAAATGCTAGCAGCGAAGCAATTCAACTCCTGAGAGACATGCTCCAGTGGGATCCTAAGAAACGACCAACAGCTAGTCAGGTTTTCCTCCATTTTCTTCTTCTGTTTGATGCATGTCATAGGAAGTCCATGTCTAACTCAAGTAATTACTAGAAATCACGTAGAAGAAAGTTTAGTTAGTGTTATAAGTGAAAAACAGTATTGATATCACTAACAGTATGCCATATAAATGTAAGAACTTAAAATACCTGGAACTTTGTTGCGTTAAAGGTCGTGAAGGCCGAAATGATACCAGTGCTTTGAAAATCTACATACAGTTCACATGATCATCACCACATTTGTGGAAAAGAAAATAAACAGATATAGTTATCTATGTTTGAAGAATGTTGTCGTGTACTCATGAGTATGGATTGAGATTACATTGGGGGCCTGGTGCAGTAGCCTAATCTCACTTTGCATTCACTGGGATCCCATATGGATGCTGATTCTAGTCCTGGCAGCCCCACTTCCCATCTGATCCCTACTTGTGGCCTGGGAAAGCAGTTGAGGACAGCCCAAAAACTTGGGATCCTGCACCTGTGTGGGAGACCCAGAAGAAGCTCCTTGCTTCTGGCTTTGGATCAACTCAGCTCTAGCCATTGTAGCTACTTGGGAAGTGAACGATCAGATGGAAGATCTTCCTGTCTGTCTCTGCTCCTCTCTGTATATCTGACTTTCCAATAAAAATAAATAAATCTTTAAAATCTTTAAAAAGATATATTACATGGGTTAATAAGCCAATGCTTGTTGTTGAAAAATAGCTTCTTGTAAAGTCCAATTTTTACAGATAACAGACATGAGATAACCGCAATTAACATTTCATCACACTTTACAGTTTTCAAATGCTTTTGTATATTTTATGTGATCTTAACCTAATAAGACTCGATGAAGTAAATATTGTTATTTTGATTCTGTAAGTGAGAAAACTGAATCTAAGGCAGTTGAAGTGATTGGCCCTAACTGCTTATCCCATAAACAGGGCAGACAGAGCAGGTGACAGATGTCTGATCACACAGGTTCTTCCAACTTGGAACTCCTGCTTTCTCATCCTCCTTATCCCAGGTCATTTTGGCTTGTACTATGGATTGCATCCCAAGGGGTACTCCCCTGCTTCCTGTAAAACCCCTGGTGTTAGTGGTGCCTGGTCCCACTTCAGCTTGTCTCATAAACATTTGCCTCGAAAGAGCAAATGAGTAACCAGTTCTAACCAGGAAACAAATGTGGCTAAAAGAAAGTGTTGAGGGTATTTCAACAAAGTGTCAGTGTGATGTTGGGATTTGCCAGAATTGGTGGACTAACGAAGGGGTGTAGAAAAGCAGTCTGGCAAAGGCTAAGAAGAAAAAGCTGGGAATCTGAATGTTTCAAGAGGGTTAGGGAGCTTCAAAACGCACCTTTGCAGATAAAATCCACAAGTGATTTCAGGCCTAAGAGTAAGTTTTCTGATGAAGCCAGTTCTTTCTTTGTTTTTTAAAGATTAATTTTATTTCTTTGAAGAGTTAGAGAGAGGAAGAGACAGTAAAAGAGAGAGAGAGAATTTTCTGTCCACTGATTCACACTCCAGATGTGAATCACTCATGTGAGCCAGGGCCAGGCTAGGCTAAAACCAGGAGTCAGGAGCTTCTTCCAGGTTTCCCATATGGGTACAGATGGCATTTTGGCCATCCCTCACTGCTCTCCCAGGTGCATCAGCCAGGAAATGGGTCAGGAGTGTAGCACCTGGGGCTGGCATGGTGGTACAGCAGGCTAATACTCAGCCCTCTAGCCCCAGCATCCCATGTGGGCACCAGTCCGAGTTCCCTCTGCTCTGCTTCCAGCTCAGCTGTCTGCTTATGACCTGGGAAAGCAGCAGAGAATTGCCCACATGGGAATCTATACTCACGTGAGAGACCCGAAAGAAACCCTGGCTCCCTACTTTGGATCAATTCAGCTCTGGATGTTGCAGTCATTTGGGAAGGGAGCAAGTGGGTAGAAGACCTGTTCTGTCTCCTCTTCTCTCTCTGTAAAATCTGCCTTTCAAATGAAAATAAATAAATCTTTTAAAAAGGAAGGCAGGAAGAGGAGCAGCTGAAACTAATATTGGCTGTGCTATTGGATGTTGATACCGTGGGCAGTGATTTCACCGCTGTGTCACAGTTCCCGCCCCTGGACCCAGCTCCTTAAAGGTTGCACACAGAGATGAAAAAGATTGTGTTACAAAGAATCCAGAGAAATGTGTGCTTTTAAGCACAACGGAATCCAGAGAAATGTGTGTTTGCTTTTAAGCACAGCGCCGGAAAACAAAAATACCCCCAAATAATTTGAGATTTTTGAAAGTGCCTCATAGAAAAGACTCTACAAGCCAGATGCCAGAATCTGGGGTTTTTACCAGAGTCTCCAGATTTTGCTTCTGAGTCTTAATGGAAGGTCATGTTACATTCAGAGTTTTCCACTTGAAAAGAAAACAAAGTCCAAGGCATATTATCAGGAAGAATTGTGAACTCCGGCACTTGTAAGATTCATCCTCTGGCTATCCAGAAAACCCAACTGTCTAGAACAACAGGTATCATTTCCTTGTTAGTTGTTCCCGAAAGGAGAGATTTAACCGCATCCGATGTTACACTTTGGGCTCTTGTGCAAAAACATGTGTACCTGCTTGTTTTGTCCTCTCTTTTTCTGAGTCCTCCAGGACTTTCTAGTTCACTCTTTTGTTCTGCGTTATTTCCTTCTCTCTTTATGGAATTAGGAAATGGGATCAGAAGGGTAAAATATCATGTTTATGACATGTAACGAATCAGTCCCAAAATCTAGATTGACATTGATCCAGAATGCTTTTCAGAAGTAGCAAAGGTAACAGCCGGTGTCACTGGCTACATCAGCCAAGTAGCTCTGAGTGCCCCATCCAGTATATAACTCTCACAGTATCCTAGGGCATTACCAGGCGTGTTACAGTGTAGGATGCTAGGCTTAAGAACTGTAAGAAGCTAGTCACGGGAAGTGTAACACAGGAAGTGTAACACAGTGATCATAATGGTGTTTACTGTCCTGGCTGACTTTTCTCCCATGGCCTAATTTGTCATTCCAGGCACTTCGATACCCTTACTTCCTTATTGGGCACCCACGAGGCAGCACCATGCCGAGTATTCAGGATCCAGGAAAACCACAGAAAGACCTCCCGGAAAAGGCAGGTCCCGCTCCTCACAGAAAGCCAGTCCCTCCTGCTCAGCCCTTAACCAAGCCACATCCACGGATTTCTTCACGACCTCATCAAGCCAGCCAGGTCCCTCAGCATTTCACTTACCCCTACAAAGCAGAGGCCTCCAGGAAAGACCACCCGAACCATCTTCAGGAGGACAAACCCAGCCCCTTGCATTTCCCATCCGTGCACAACAAGAATCTGCCTTCGGTAAGCAGCAAGTGTTCACCAGGGAGCCTCGTGTTTGGCTTCTTCTTTTGACCCTACTTGCCATGTGTATTTTCTTTCCCAGTCTAACTATAGTAGGTGTATCTTTGCAAGAGTGTGGGATTGTGAAGGCACCCTTGGCTCTGCAGTTAAAGATCCAAATTCAAGGTCACAGTGCTGCTCCTGAAGGCAGCTGTCAGGTGATGAGAGCCCTCCAGGGTCTGACATCTCAGCTCTGCTGTGTTTTGGCTCCAAGACCCTGAGCAGGTTGCCTGGCTTCCTCTGCTCCTCACATTCTATTCTGCAAAATAGAGCTAATCCTAAAATCCACTGGATGTCATGGCTTTTGAGGAGCTAATACTTGCAAAGAATTTGGAATTGGACCAGGTACCTGGTTAGACCCTTAGTAAGAGTTAGTCACTGTTACCATTAAGCCCTGCTGATTAAGTTCCCTCATCTGTCAGAGGCTGATCTCAGTGCAGTGGCTTGCCTGCCAGGCAGGGTTGATCATGATGCTCATTAAGATATTTGGAAAATCATAAATACCACTTTAATATGAGTGGCCTGTCACTCACATTAACCCTATTAGTGCTCCGTGAGCCACATCTTTCCTCTCCTTTTGGGCTGGTTTTGAAAGGGGGACAGTCAATGTGAAATTCAGTAAACTGATACCCTGCTAAGAAATTCTTAGTGATCCGTAGCTTTGGGAGGCTGATTGTCTGGCTTTTTGAGCAAAAAGAGCTCTTTTTCTGTGAACCAGTATTTATAGAGGCCTGGCTACCAGCTAGCACAAGGTAAGCCCCTACAAAGGTAGTTTTCTAGACTTCAACTCAAATGCATGATTTGGATCTTTGTCATGTCGCAGAAGAATGTTGTAATTACGAGACAGTGCAGGTCTACTGAGAAGGCAAAGAAGATACTTGAATTCTCTGAAACAGAGAAAGGTGACTGACACCTTGGCCATACCATCTTGGATCTCCATGCATAGCAGGTCAGGTGTAATGAGAATCCAGCCATCTTCCTAAAACAGGAGAAAGATGTTAAGTTCCTATGTTCACATCCTTGTTGTATACAACCTGGTAGCCTTCCTGGATGGCTTTCACCACAGTGCTCTTGGGACACGTCAGGGAGTCACAGCAGTGTGAAAACACGATTTTGAGGATTAGGCACACACTAGGCCTCAGGATTCTGCTGTCCATGACAGAGGATGTTGGAGATTGCTTGCAGATGGGTTCCATTAATGCCAAGTATTTTGCTGCCCTTCCCCCTCTTGTTTATACAGAAAGTCCTAGCTGGCCTGGAGCTCAAAAATGGAGAGGTGAAGCCAAAGAGTAGGAGAAGGTGGGGTCTTATTTCCAGATCAACGAAGGATTCCGATGACTGGGCTGACTTGGATGATTTGGACTTCAGTCCCTCTTTCACCAGGATTGATGTGAAAAACAAGAAAAGACAGAGCGACGACACACTCTGCAGGCAAGTGGGCGCTAGTCCCTGTTAATGGACGGGGGCGGGGAGTTGGTGCACAGCAGGATGTAGTCTCCTGTGTGCACACACTGACCTATGTCACTTCCTTTTGATTCAGATTTGAGAGTGTTTTAGACCTGAAGCCGTCTGAGCCCGTGAGTACCGGAAGCAGCGCCCCTACCCAGACTTCGTGTCAGCAGCGAGACACGCCAGCCCTGAGGTCCACCGCCAAGCAGCACTACTTGAAGCATTCCCGATACTTGCCTGGTAATGAGTAGCACTGGCCTTTGCTTTGATCACGGATGAGCAGTCTTGTCCTTGGAGGCATGATTCCATTTTGGAACATGTTATCTGGGGGCTTCCCTTTATAATTGGTGAGACCATCATAGAGATACTTGCTAAAAAGCCAGCCAGGACATCCCCACCTACCACCACCAACACCACCAATTTTTATCATTTTTTTCAAGTCTTTGAAAGGCAGAATGACGCAGAGAGCCATGGAAATGTTGAACTAATTTGGTTCTGCACTTAATTTTTTTTTAATCTCTAAAGTCTGATACAAGATTAAATGTGCATTTTATATCCTAAGTACATTTTAAATAACCTGCAAATGCATTTTAAATCATTTTTGTGTATACTTGAGGTATGTAGCATGATACCTTATGCTTGTGGATACATGTAGATAGTAAAATGAGTGCTATAGTGAAGCAAATTAATATAACCATCATCTCATATAATAATTTTTTGCTTTTTGTGACAAGAGCAACTGAAATCTACTCATTAAATGAGTCCCATATACAGTACAATTTTGTTGCCTGTTGTGTTCATATTGTATGCTAGATATCATAACTTGAATTTCTTATCTATATCTCTTCTTTCTGCCTTCCTTCCCCACTCAACTCGCTCTGGGAACCACTGTTTTGTTCCCTATCTCTATATATAAAAAATAAATGAATAAAATAAGATTCCACAGGAAAGTGAAATCATATAGTTTATCTGGTTTATTTCACTTAGCATAATGTCATCTGGACTCATCCCGTTTTTGTGTGTACACATTGAATAATATCCCACTGTGTATATGTATCACGGTCTCTTTATTCATCCATTATGATTTGCATTTTAAAACCCCTTCTTCTTGACAGGAATCAATATAAGAAATGGCATCTTGCCAAACCCGAGCAAGGACTTCATTCCATCAAATCCATGGTCTAGTTCTGGTTTGTCTGGAAAGTCTTCAGGGACAGTATCAGTCATCAGCAAAATAAATTCAGGTGAGTAATGGGCTCTTAGCTCCCATGACAAAAAGTCAGTCCTCTGGCTGCAGCAAGGCGGAGATGGACAGATGTGAGATGGGCTGTGGGACCAGGAGGACCTCTCTGTTTTCCTGCTTTGTTCTCTCTCTTTCTTGGCAGCAAGCTCTGCCGTACCAGCCCATTCCCATGGGGGCCTGCCCTCAGGAGCCATTGAAGAATGAGGCACGTTCTCAGGTGGCTCATGGGAAAAACAAAAATAACTTCACAGACTCTCTTCAAGCCTGACTTTTGATCTATAAGCCACCTCCTCTATGGTGGACATAGAGACAGTCCCCATGTGCCCCACTGCAGCTCATCCAGTCCATCTGGAGACCTGGCCTTAAGCCTGGGCCTCCAAAATCCCTCCGCCTGGCAGGTGCCTTCCCACTCTCTTTAAGTAGATGAAGATACTGCATACCTCCTGCATGCTGACCAGCTGCCCCCTGCAGAGTTTGCTCCCACAGGAACCCAGGCTGTGTGCTGCTTCAGCTCCACATCGTCTGGCTTTGCTTCCCCCTGCCTTTATCCTTCAGTTATTTGCATATTTTAAGGAAATACAAAGAAATAGATAATACCACCTCCCAGTTTAAGAAGTTAAACCTTGCAAACACACAGAAAGCCAGTGTCTAGGCCCTTGCCTTCTTCATTTCCTCTCCCTTTTCTCTGACCTGACGTGATTTGGGTGTTATTCTGTAATTATCATGCATTCTCTGTAAATAGGTGTGAAATTCCCAGTGCAGCTTTGCATGATTTAAAATTTATACAAGAGTACTAAAAAAGTTTACAGAAGATGGGATTAAAGACGAAGATTATTTTGATGCTAAAATATTTGAGATCCTCATATAGATTTTTTTTATAAGATAAAATTTTCATCAACTTTTTTAGAGACTGTTTGTGTGCATGGATTTCCAAATTTTCTGCACAAAAATGAACTTCTCTTTCAGTTCTATATTTCTACAAACTTCTGAAACACCTTCAGATAACATAATTGTGGGTCACCACTCCTTTTATGTATTTACTTTTAGATCTACTTTATTTGTTTGAAAGGTGGAATGACAGAGTTAGGGAGAGACAATGAGAGATCTTCATTTACTATTCACTTTAAAATGGGCCAGGTCAAAATCATGAGCCCGGAGCTTCATCCAGCTCTGCCAATTGATGGGTGAAGGGGCTGAAGCCCTTGGAGCATCTCCTGATGTTTTTCCAGGCATGTTAAGAGAGAGTTGGATCAGAAGTGGTGCAGCCAGTCTTTGATCCTTGCTTAGTTCCAACTTTGGATCCCCACCCTCTCCTGCAGTGACTATCAGGGTCACCCTGGAGGCCCCCCTAAAAAACAAAACAAAAAAACAATAACAAAAAAATGTAGAATAGATAGACAGAGAACAACATGGAAAGCTTAGAACCAGACAGGAAATGGTCAGCGGGGACTCACATACACCTTACTAGGTAGGACACGAAAATACCCCACTCCTGACTGGGGTGTTGAAGATTTCCCTTCACACCCATCCTAAAACTATTCTGTGCCTCAACTGTTGATATATGCCTTGTTAAAGTTGTAAGCCAGTTTAGAGTATCCTAAAATCTGCTAAGTTCAGTAAAAATTATGCTTCAATACAATAAACTGCTAAATACAAAAATGAAAATAGACTCGAGACAGCTGGATAGTATCCTATAACCATTTTAAGGTGGATAGAAGCTGGTTGTATATAAACTAAAATTTAAATGTCAATGAAGTAGTCACAGGATGTGGTTAAGAACTTGCATTTTCTAACATATCAGTCACTCATTACCATTTCAATTAACCCCTTAATGTTGTAAACTGTTGTTGATGTTATGTTATGGCTTTTAATTGGTCAGAACAATATTCTGCCAGCTCTGCTTTTAGACCAGAGATGGACTCTATGCATGGTACATGCTTGCAATGAAAAAAGCATGACTGGATTTGAACTGTAATAATACTACAATAAGGTGGAGTAGTCCACCATGGGGGGAGGGTACGGAGACGGGTTGGGGGAACCTCAGAGCCTATGAAACGATGTCATAAAATGAAATGCAATTTAAAAAAAAAGTGGTGCAGCCAAGACTTGATTTGGTGTCCAAATGAGATACCAGCAATGCAGCTTTAACCCACAGTACTCTAATATCAACCTCCAAGCATTATCACTCATTTTAATAAATATGTATGTAGTAGTTATACACACACATATATAGCTATATAATACCATAATTCCTTATTTATCCCACTTCATAATTCTCTATTGCTTGTCTTCTTGATGAACACATACATTGTTTACAAATTTTGCTATTACAAGGAGTGCTGAAGAGAATGTTGTTTCAATCTGGTCGTTGTGACCACCTATTAAGGTTTCTGTGGTGCAACTGATAATACAACTGCTAGTTAAAGGGGGTGCACATGTCTGACTTCAGAGATGCTGCTCAACTGCTGTCCAGCAGGTTACCCCTGATGCTACTTGGTAGCGACAAAACTAAAATGGTGTTAATGTGATGGATGTGCAATGGTTTCTTATTCTGAATTAAGTTTGTTTATCCTGTTTTCGAATGAGAGTCCTGATCTTTTGTTTATTGTCTATAATGAGTTTTTCCATCCTTTTGTGACTTACCTAGTCAAATGATGTTTTTTCTTTCTGTGTCTTTATCTTGAAAAAATACCAAGTTCCTCTAGCTGAAAGACATGACTCCTCCCTCACACTTGCATTCCAGACCATTCATCCCACACTGCCTTAAGTAGTTGCCAAGAACATTCTGTATTATGGAAACAGAACAACTGTACTTATTCACTCTTTTCCCAATGGATAGAACTTCTGTTTGTACAAGAGCCTATCACAACATTCTTCATTATGTCATGTGTACTTTTAAGCTTAAATAATAAGCATTATAGGTAGTCACTGAACTCATACCTCACTGTGTGCAAGGTATTGCAAACATGAGTAGCAGACAGTTGTGCCCTTCGTAAAGCACTCTGAAATGTGACATACAAAGCAAATGTATCTAAGATTTTTCATTAAGGGTTAATTTTTCTGATTATGGACAGGAATATTTAGCATGTACTTATTTTAATAACTAAACAGTTGGGACTGTCATTGTAGTGAAGCAGGTTAAGAAGATGCAGAGAACACCAGCATCAGTAGGAGTGTTGGTTGCAGCCTCAGCTTCTCCACTTCCAATCCAGTTCCTCCCAATATACATGGGAAGACAGCAGAAGATGGCCCAACAGCCCACTGATATGGAGGACTGGATGGAGTCCCCAGCTTGTTGATTTGGCCTGGCCCATGCCTACTTGCTGCAGCCATCTGGGAAAGGAACCAGCAAATGAAATATCTCTCTCTCTTCCTCTCTCTCTCTCTCTCTTTCTCTCTCTCTCACCCTTACCTCTGTAACTCTGCCTTTCAAATAAATAAACAGGTTTTTTTTAAAAAGATTTATTTTATTTATTGCTAAGTCAGATATACAGAGAGGAGGAGAGATAGAAAGGAAGATCTTCAGTCTGATGATTCACTCCCCAAGTGAGCACAACGGCCAATGCTATGCCAGTCCGAAGCCAGGATCCAGGAACTTCTTCCGGATCTCCCACACAGGTGCAGGGTCCCAAGGCTTTGGGCCATCCTCAACTGCTTTCCCAGGCTACAAGCAGGGAGCTGGATGGGAAGTGGAGCTGCCAGGATTAGAACCGGTGCCCATATGGGATCCTGGCGCGTTCAAGGCAAGAACTTTAGCCGCTAGGCCACACTACTGGGCCCAATAAGTAGTTTTTTAAAAATACCTACATAAGCAAGAGAATCTATGTGTTGTCAGTAGAAGAGTTTTGAAATGAAATGTGTTTTAGCATTATTGACAGGGAAGGATAACAATTCTGGATTAATGGAATGCAGAAAGTAATTGCAGAGTAGGCTAAGTCTATTTTTAAAACAAATACAAATGTGCAGTTCTCCTTTCTGAAGTGCACTGCACAGCATTGCTTGGTTGTGTCTGCTGCAGTATACTGTCCTTGCCCTCCTGGGCTTCCTGACTGGGGGTGGGTAGAATCCTGGGCTCAAAATTCGCTCTTTCATTGTAACCTGTTTTGTAACCCTTACTCACTTTTTTATTATTCTTCATAGATGCCCTTTAACAGTCTGTGGGCTCTATATATTGTCACCTCTGGTGTCACATGTACTTGTCTTTGTAATGAGTTTTTGCTTTTGCCAATCAGTTGGTTCCGGCTCTACAAACTCTAGTGGAATGACTGGAAACTACATTCCTTCCTTTTTGAAAAAAGAAATCGGTTCTGCTGTGCAGAGGGTACACCTGGCACCTGTCCCAGACCCTGCCCCTGGTAAGTTCTGTTGTAGATGATTCATGAATTGATTCCACAATTAGTTACGGAACAGCTGCTGGGTGCCAGACATGGTATAGAGCTGGGATCCACAAATGAAGGAGGCCGACAGAACTGCCTGCTCTTGGCGCACTTGCACCCCACAGCGGCTCGATTCCTCAGCGCCGAGGAAGGAAACCAAGCAGGCAGGAAGCAGGTAGTGTGGGAACAAACCGCAGTTCTGTGCAGTGTGGGGGAGACTGTTCCAGTCATAGGAGTTCTTCTGCCTGAGACAGGGATTGAGACAGGACAGGCCTGGAAAATCCAAGCAGTAGCCAGGGGGCCAGAGTGCAAGAGTGTCGTTTGTGAGACGGAGATGTGGCCTCAGGGGTCAGAGGGTGACTGGAGGTCACAGTACTGGGAGGTCCTGCCACAGGCCCTGGGAGGCACTGCAGAGTTCTGAGGAGGGCTGAGGTTCTGACATCTGTCCTCACCGGCTCACTCATCACTCTGCTGCTGCTGCTGCTGCTGCTGCTGCTGCTGCTGCTTGTCATTGCACAAAAGTAAAAGCCAGGTCAGGGGCAAGGAAACCCAGTGAGGAACTTGATGCAGTGATTTGGGCAGAAAATGATGCTAGCTTGGGAATAGTTGAATTGGCAAAGAAAAAAAAAATGCCAGCTCCTGAGTATATTTAAAAGCCTGAGCCAGCAAGATTTGCCAGCAAATGAGAAAGCTAGAGGGGCCAGAGATGACACCAGTATTTTTGACTGAATGAGCTATAACTCTAAGATTGTCCTGAACTGAGGGAGAGAGTACTGTGAGTCTTCAAATTCAAACTGCACCTCTTCAAATTCTCATTTTCTGACACTTTTGGCACCAATATGTGTTTGTCTGCCCTTTGCTCACTTGGTATCCTAACAGCCTGACTTTTTCTATTGCACTGCAGGTTATTCTTCTCTGAAGGCAGTGAGACCTCATCCTGGGCGACCTTTCTTCCACACGCAGCCCAGAAGTACCCCTGGTTTGATACCACGGCCTCCAGCTGCCCAGCCAGTGCACGGCCGGACGGACTGGGCTTCCAAGTACGCATCTCGGCGATGACCATCTCAGCCACGAAGCCCTTCAAAAAGGGAAAGCACGACATTCCCCCTTAGTTAACCGGTGTTGCACCTGCCAGAGACACAGCTGGCGTTAGAGTAAAACAACTCTTTGTAGCTACCGTTCTGAACTGAGACATTTCAATATTCTTTTTAAAAGTTTTTTTTTTAAATATTGATTTGGATGCAATACCCTTTTTTGTACGAAATTATTTTATTCTAAAACTGGGTCCCATTATTTTCTTAAACCAGCAGCATTTTGTATATATGGGTTATGTTTTAGCATTTTATACAGCCAACTTTGTAATGAACTTTTTTAAAGATTTAGTGACTTTCTTTTGTGGTTCCAGATAATATTTTATACAGATTTTGAAAAATGTAATAATATTGACACAGTATTGCAACAGGAGTGCAGTTTAAGACTATGTGATAAGAGTTATTTATTTGGTGTCTGCCAATATTTGGAAAGTAGTTAAATTTTAAATGTGGCTCATTAGGTACTTCAGACTCTTGGATTGGTGTTAGAAGAGCATTCCTCTGCTATTAACATTACCATTACCTTGAGTTTTTGATTCCACTGTGCAGTTCGAAAGGTACTATTATGTAAGTCACTTTAACTTTATGCCCCAGATGAAAGAACTCCAAGTAAAAATTTGCACAACAATTTTTCATGTAGCTACAGATACCCCCCTCCAAAAATCAACCTTTATGATGATATTCCTTCATATTATATTTTCTTCCATTTTTGAAATCATGCAAGTACTAATGAAAGGGATACTTTTCATGACAAAATATTCTCCACAAAAAGGTTAACACAGTCAGTTAAAATTATGTCCCTGCCAAGATATACGACCAAAAGGAAAAACAGGTTTGAAAGGCCGTGGAAAATTTTTGGTTATTATAACTGCTGAAATTTTGCATTTCTCTTTAAGCCTGGCTGGAAGCAGCCGGTGAGTAATCTTGTGTCCTAGCTGAATTCTCAGGACATTCTTGGGAGGGGTAAAGATTTATGGTGGGGGTTGTATTCATTTGCAAAGTGACAAGGATCAAGATGTTAGTGACCCTAACGTGCCACATCTGAATTCCTAACCACCTTGTGTAGTTCCTTTCAAGAGTTAAGAGCTCTCTTAGGCAGAGGCTGTTCCACTAAGAGCAATGTTTACAGTGATTTTTGAAACTGACAAAGCTAGTTTGGAGACAACGAAACAGGAAAGGTCCACTCTCAGCCATGTCTGTGTGACCTCTGGTTACCATGCAGGCAAGAAGGAAGGTCACCAGCAGGAAGTGTGACATCATCTTAGCAGTATGTTGTCTCGTGGTGCCCCCAGGGATCAAACTGCTCTTTTGGGTCCAGGTTCTGGAACCTAGCAAGTTGAACCACAGGAAATGTGCACTTTTTAAAGGTTGAAATGTATCAATAAGGCACTTACCCATGGTTCAACCTAATAGGTTGGCAAATGATTACTTTGCTATGTTAAGAATCCTTAACAAGTTACCATGCCTTCCAAAGGGCTCTAATCTAAAATCAGGAAGTAATTTATACTTTAGAGAGTCTGGCTCAAAAACATACTTGACCAAGCACTATGACCTCGGGCATGAGAAAGGCACATAATGGGTGTGGATTTGATAGGTGATTTTGTCCTGTCGACAAGCTGGCAGCGAAGCTTCAGAAAATGTAAATACAAGCACAACTTGAAGCTCAACTCATTTCTGCATTCTATTTTCAACTCGTTATCTAAAGCAGCAGAAAATGTTCTCAGAGATGAGTCCTCTACAATGAGGTTAATATTTATTTTCTCTTTCTGTATTATATATAAAAAGTAAATTAATCTGAAACCTTGCTCAGCTTTCTGGAAAGCTGATCCGAGATTGTATATATACCCCTTAGCGAAGCAGATAGGTTGTCAATACTCTTTATACTCTAGTTTGTGTTAAGCTCATTCCTTTGTTTTTTTAATTGAAAAAAATCTAGTTACCTGATTATTGTACATAATAAAATGGTTTTTGTAATCCTTTTGTAGAGCTCAGTTTTTAGAAAATACTACCCATTTTTTCCTTTTTATTCTTTCCTTTGTTTACTAACTTCCCTTGGGAAGCCAAATGTGTTCATGTGAAAGCCATGGAGCTGATGTACAGTTGAGAACACCAGAAGACCGTAAGAATTGTGTAAATTCTAAAAGACCAGTGACGTTCTATAAATGACGCGCCCCCCCCCCCCCGGATGGGTGAAGATTAGTTGTGTGTGCAAACTTTGTGCTAAAGAAGGGAAGAGTGACCATTTGTTAAGTGAAAATAAAATGCTTTTTCATTTATTTCTTGTTACTGTAGAACCAATAAAATATCATGCAAGATACCAGTGGGAATGAAGAGTTTCTCTGTACCTAACCATGATTATACCTCATTTACAGTGAGAAAGCTTTCTGAGTTATAAGGAAATGGTACAGAACTGGCTCTCATGCTGTAACCGGAGATTCAGAATCCAGTGTGCTCAGGGGGCAGGTGTGCCTCCCTTAGAGAAAGTTGCTTGCATTTGCATTGGAGCTATTAGCATAATTGTTCATTTTACAGGACAGTTCCATGCATTACCAAATCTTCACCTGCTTCATGCATTTTAGCAGGAAGAACCTTGATTTCCCAGTAATGTGTCCACACATCTCTTGCCTGAAGAACTATAGACATCTAATAAGATAATATATGGTTTTCTGAAGTTATCAAAGACTGAGCACAATCGAGGCAAACCATGGCAGACACAGCCAGGATTGTTACCTTTTTCGACACCGCTATAGGCACTGTCTCAGGTCATTGGGCGCCATGATTTCTTGTGGAGTAGCCTTTCCCTGGCCTCTTTTGTGTATGTGTGTGCACCATTTAGGATAGGAGAAGAACACAGGCTGTATGTTTCAGCTCCGTATATGACCAAAAGCAATATGTTTTTAAGAAAATGTTTTACATACTGATTATTTTATATCATTTTAAGCATATATAGCAACCTTTTTGTTCAATGTTTGTGGTTAATTTTTAGAGTTATTTTTACAATTTCCAACCAGATGTACTGTACTTTTCTATTTATTGTGAATAGCTTCTCATGAGAACCATTAAGAAGACAAACTGGAGGTATTACCGGTATTATTGGTTTCTTATAGACATTGTATTAATGTGAATTTACAATGATCTGAAAAGTCCTCTGATCTCAAATATCTCAGAATGGATAGTAGCTTAGTCACCCAGATTTCAGTACAATGAAGTAACTGAGAATGCTTTTATTTTATTTATAAAGTAAATATTCATAATAATGAGAAGATATGACAGAAAACCACTTAAGCAAGACTTCAGAAATTAATGCTTTTTGATCGAATAGCTTGTCCTAAGATGTTTAAAAATGTTAACTCAATGCAAGAAAAATTCTCTTCCAAATAAAGTTACACTTTAAGAACAATTTAAGTGTTATGTTTTCCTTTGCTTTCATGCTTTTTCATCAAACATTAATATTAGTGATTCCTAATGTTCATGCATTAGTTCTTTGGAACTTCACTGCATGTAACTGGAACAGTACTAAGAGTGTTGCATCCACTCGACCACTAAAACAGAATGTTATATTCACCAGTAACAGTCACAACAAAGTTTTTTTTATAAATAAGAGGCAAGGCAGCTGACTGACTGGCTAACCGACCAGCAGGGACCAACTCCCCTTACCAGAGTGCAGCCCAAACGGCACATTCGCAGGGTTTTTATAGGGGCAGTTTACAATAGCTTGTAGGGTGAGGAAGGCAAGACCGCACATTCCTTGTTTATCTTGGCTGGGCAGCCACTGTCTTCCTCTTCTCAGGTCCGGGCTCCGACCTTAGCATCACCTGTGACAAACAGATTCCGATCTTGGAGTTAATCTATGGGTTAATTAGGCTGGGGTCTTGATTTATGAGGACTGGAGGGCCATTGGCACTAAAGGTCACGTACCATTAGGCCTGCAAGCTCACAAAGTTTCTTCACCAAGCAAGAAAGCAGAAGTTACAAAAGCGAAAAGTATTGCAGTTAGCAATAAGCCATATTTACTCCATTTTGATTTCAGCTCTACAAGAGAGGTTTGTGAAATTCAGCATTTTTTAAAGATTTTTTTTTCTTTTCTTCTTTTTATTTTTTTAATTTTGACAATCCTTACAAATTTAATTGGGGTAAAAAAGGTTCAAGGCCTAAAGGGGGATATAGAGGAAGAAGCCCCACCCAGTTTCCCACCCATCCTAAGTCCCGGATGTGGGGCATGCTCTGAGATACTCGATCAAGTGGTTCCAATAGTTCACCATTCATGGGTCGCTGCCAGTCTCGCCACTCCAAGCACGATGTGGTCGTTGAAGAGTTCATTGATTGACACAGTCCCTTCTAGAGTCTCTATTTGCCCAGTATTTTGCTGCCAACAGATAGCTGAGGTTGTTGCTTGACTTGTTCTGTCTTTCCTTGGTTAGGACTCTGAGTCCGGTATCTCGAATGGGGAGATCCTCGAAGAAATTTTGAGGTATTCCCAGTCCAAATTCCTGCATGTTCTAGTAGCATAGGGCCCGGCACAGTCCATTGCCCCGATCAGCTGGTGGTTGCAGTTGCTGGGTCGGTCTGTCTCCACCCGTGTCCTCTTGCAGTCCCGCCTGGTTCCGCCCTGGACGCACTTGTCCCTCGCACGTACCAGTAGGAGTTGCAGCCCAGTCAGGGCAGCCCACAGTAACCCCAACCAGGCCCACCCCCTACCCTGGCTTGCCAGTATGTATGGCATACTAACCCAGTCTGTCCCAAATGCCCTTCTGTTCATATACTTGCCAACAGGTGTTGCAACCTACTTCCATCCAACCATCGCCTCCTACCGTCCCTAACGGATATTGTTGGGTGTCTGTCTAGCCACCCCAGCCCCTGTCCTAGTTCCCATGCCCTCCCGTGGAAGGTGATGACCCACGAGGGAGGAGCACACTATTTCCCTCCCAGGTCACTCCCATTCCAGTTGTGCCCTCTCCAGTTGGCCCTGTGGTTCAACTCAACGTGTCTAACCCTTTGTACCAGCTTCCGCCAGCTGGTGCTACAACTAAGCCCCAACAACCCTCACCAACTCTGATTGTAGCTTGCACCAGTGGGAATAGTCAGCCCAGCCTGGTTTTCACCCAATCTGGTCCACATGAGGTGCACAGGTGCTGTGTCCCTGCCTGGTCTGGTCTACCCCCTACCCAGCTCACGCTCCTCAGTGTAAGTTGCTGTTCAGCTAGGGAACCTCCCCTTATTCCCCTGTCAGCTCTGCCTCCTCCTTTCCTGGTTCTCACGTGTGTTGGTTGGGTGCTGCGGCTGCATCCGGCTCAGGCTACCTCACCTTGGCATTCCAACTTGTGTGTTGCTTTTGTCACGACCGGACCTGGTTCGACCCACACTCTGTTCTGGCGATCAGATTTACCAGTGGATGACATGAACAGATTCAGCCTGGTCTGCCCCCGACCCATGCCAAATGCATGCCAGTGGGACACTTTCTATGACCTCTTGGCTGTTACCTTCCATGTTCCTTGCGCTGACCTGCAGGGTCTGTGTCCTGCCAGAGGAGTTGCCTGAGCTCCTCCATCAGAACCCCTCCATGTGCCAGGTTTCGCGCATATCAGTGGGTCCATGTGCCAGTTCGCCTCTTGTCCTAGCAGGAACAGTGGCCTTTCTTAACTGGCCATCATCCCGTTCTGGTTCTTGCTGTAGAGTGTTTCAGCCCAGCCACGGTCGTCCATGCCCCCATATAGCTCGTATATGGCTCAGTTGAGGTTGGGACCTAGCCTAGTCCGTCCCACATCCACCCTGGTACTCCAAAGCACCAGAAGGTGTTACGGTCTGGCCTGGCCCGGTACGTCTTTTTCCAATCCACATTTGTGCCAAGGGAGATGACAACTGTATCCAGACCCTGCCGCAGCCCCATCCACCTGTCATGACCCCTGCCTTAGACACCGTGGCTCAACTCTGTGCTTAATGTGGACCAGTTGGAGCCAAAACCAAGCTGGGCATGTCCTGTGTTCCAGTCATGTTTGTGGACTAAGATTTGCTTAGTCCGAACATTCAGCTCTCAGTCCCACACTTACATTAAGGTTTCATGTCCCGGTTCCTGGGAATCACCAGAAATTAGTGTCTCACCTACGCTAACGCTGGTCTTACTTTTGGGTGTCCCAACGCAGCTATTTCATATCATCAAAACCCCAGAGCTCGCCGCTGGGCGGCCAGCAAGCAGAGCCTGGCACCACTTGGTGCACTGGACCCCGGCAGGGTTCCGTCCGGCAGAGGCACCCCCAACAAGTGCCACCTTGATGGGGGGTTAAACCCGCCCCTTATCCTGAGACTGGACCCGCCCACCTGTCCTGCGGGTCAGGACAGGTAGCTGGCGGGGACGGGGGAGAGCCAGGAATTTCCCCCCACCTCCCAGCCCTCCCCCACAGGTACTTACCCACGAGGGGGCTTTAGGTGCTCCTGGGCCAGGAGAAGGCAGACTTTTTCAGAGAGAACATCTTCCTTCCACTGATTACTCCTGAAATGGCTGCAGGGCCAGAGCTGAACTGATCCGAAGCTGAGAGCTCCCGGGTCTCCCACATGGGTACAGGGTCCCAAGGCTTAGAGCCATCCTCCCCGGCTTCCCCAGGTCAGAAGCAGAGAGCTGGATGAGGAAGTGGAGCGCCCAGGACTAGAATCAGCGCCTATATAGGATGCTGGCACCAGAGTGGATTAGCCTGTGTGCTCCTGCACTGGCTCCTGAAATTCACCTTTCTGCAAGTTATGTGAGTGGAATGTTTAAAAAATGAAGACCATATTGCAGCAACTTCTTGTGACTAATTCCATCCCACTTAGTATCTGTTATGTGTGTGTTTGGAGCTTTATTTATATGTTTATACCCTTTCACAACACATTTACCTGTGCAATTACTTCCTTCATAAGAAACTTACAACTCCATGAACTACAAGCAAGATGCCACAGAAAATGCACTTGCTCAACATGATGTGACTGGAGCTGGCACTGTGTAGCAGATAAAGCTACCACTTGGGGCACTTGCAATAGGGCAGTGATTTCTGTCCTGACTGTTCCACTTCCAATCCAGTACCCTGCTAATAACCTGGAAAGGGTGACAGAGGATGGTCCAAGTGCTTGGACACCTGCCACCCTGTGGGAGATTCAGATGAGATTCCTTGCTCCTGGCTTGTGACTCTGCCCTGGGCATTGCTGCCACTTGGTGGGGGAACCAAGCAATGGTTCATGTACTCTTTTCTCTGTACTTCTAAATAAATGTATTTTAATGTATTTAAATAAATTAATAAAATTATTTAAATTTAAATCTAAAATGTGTAAATTATAAATAAAATAAAT